AATTGATTACATGACTGTTGACTCATGTGGAATATTCTGCATTTCTTTCATTTGTGATTTTATGAATTTGCAATTAATTTTTTTTATCATGGAAACAAAGACGCAATCTTTTTCGATAATCGTCACAACTATAATATGGACGTCGTTTGTAAATTGCCGACTAGATACTAGGCCAACCATGTGGAAGATATCTCTTTGAAACACAGTGTTTATTCAAATGTTGCAGAAAAGTTTTCTAATCTGCTAGGTATTTTGTTTAAAATTTCAGATAAAGAAAATATCTCTAACTATCTAAAATATGTTTTTCTTTATTTTATAAGCTCTTTAATGCCTTGCATTTATATAAAGAAAAAGACAGAGCTCACCTCTTTAAATTCAAATATTAGATTTACAAATGTACTAAAAAAAATTGAATTAAATTTTGTAGATAAATTCATTCTTTTCACTTTCATAAAATTTTCATTTTTTTCTCACTAAAAAAATTACAATAAAGAACATGTATTGCAATATTTTAATTAATAATTTTATTAAAACATAAATATACATTCATAATATATTTTAAACAAATAATCTACTCGACTTATCGACAATGTAAGAACAAAATTATCAAAGAGATTTCCTGAATCCCAGTAAAATTTCACGAAAATTGCTCGATTTTTCTAGATATAAAAAATCTCTGAGAATTCCATGTTTTCATGTTTTTCCAGGGAGGATAGGCACCCGACACACAAATCGCTCGTGTTTACGCAGCGTTTAACGTGTCGCAGTATCGAACGTGTCTGCCACATCGAGAGATGCAATCGATTTCATCGATAAGCCACGCAACACCGCGATTTCATGTTGGTCAATCAATGTGCCAGGGCGATCGCCACATTGCGTTTTCAACTCGCTCCATGTTATTTCTAAAGCTTTTCGTGCTTTACACGTGCGCATGATGCGTGCCAAGCCGAGAAGCGAACGTATACACATATACGAAGAGTCGCGCGACCAGGCAGATTCAACACACGAGCACGTCTATGAACGTCCCGCTACTAAATATAACTGCTGTTTGCTGCGGCTATTTCCTACTCGAGAGATAAACGCGAGTCAAGAGGAAAGAGAAGCACGCGTGTCCCTTGCTTTCGTCGCACACCTTCGCCGAAGGAACTGGATCTCTCTTTGGGATTTTTATTACGACGTCGTTATCAGAGCTTATCGAGACGATAAACCATATCTCAAACGATAAATCATATCTCACGTGAATAAATTCTCGCAAGTCTGCAGGTGATTAAGCGTGGTCTTGATAAAGGATAAACAGATGATTATTATTTAGTTCAAACAAAATCGAAATTGCGACTTGATGTCGAATAAAATCGGAATTAAATTTTCACGTAATTTCACAAATGTCGAAATATTTATAGCTTCCACTGGGAAAATCTACGTCATGAATAGTAACGAATAATAACTGCTACACCGGCTGGTTGATGAGTTTCAACTTCAAAAACTGATATAAAAAGTCATTGTAAATAGAAAGTTGAAAATAATGAATTTGTACGATACGAATCTCTTGTAATTAATTGTGGAATTATGTCCGATGATTCTCAGAAATGCAATTATTTCTAGATAATTTATATAGATAATTTTCTGAGTTCATAAAAATCACTATCTTCTATTTATATCTACCTTTATCAATATCGTAGATATTATCTTCGCTGAAAAATTGACTCTTGAATTAATAATAGATTTTGTCATTAAAAATAAATAAGAAAAATAAGTAGAAATAAATATTAATAAAATATACGGATATATATGTTAAATATATTTATTTAATTCCGAAAAATTCTATGCAATATTTCTCTATTGGAATTTATCATATTGCGTGCTCGCCGATATTTCGAGTTCGTCATAGATTGTTACAGGATTAACCGTGCCAAACATTTCGAAATCACGCACACAAACGGAATACCGTTAAAGATAATTTTTTAACACGGTCTGTTAATGCGCGCGCGAGAAAACGAACGAAATATCGGTAAGAAAATGCTCAGACAGCGAGAGAACTTTCGATACTTCTTCTCGCCAAGTTATTTTACAAAGGAGAGTTGGCAGTATTTAAATATGTGGATAAAATCATCGGAGAAAACCGGAAAGTAACAACCTTGCGAATATTCAAGGTCTTGGGTATTACCAAGCTTGGAAATTACACAAGATACTCGATAAGTATGCAGCAGTAGAATCTCGTACACATTGTGTAAAGAAAAGTCTCGGCAGAAAATTGATTTTTGTGTTTGCATTAGTGTCGCATTGCCACGATATATGATAAAGGATCAAGAATGAATGAGCTTGGAAATAAATAACAAACGCTTTACTTTCGTATGTATTTTGCGAATAAATTTTTTAGCTTAATAAAATATGAATTTGTGATTAAAGGTGAAACGGATAAAAATTTGAAAAAAAATTGATAAATATTCGACAAGTCAAAGAAATTAAAATTCCGATTTATCCATGTGCCGAGATGGTGTATCTGCGATCACTTTTTTAATTAATAAACAATCTTAGTAAATGCCGAATTTAAGTAGATCGATTGAATTTTGGCCCGAGTACCGAAAACTTTCTCGGGCTATTTCCATTCATTCCCATGGCAACGAGCTAACGATCAGGCGGCGAAATTTCGAAATTACGCTCGACAAGCCTGCGCATTCGCCATTTCTGTTTCATAAGCTGCGCGACGCGTTTACAACGTTGCTGTGAGCTGCAAATATTTACCCTAAATTCGTGCGCCACGCAGAAGTGTAGTCACACACTATTCCAATAGTAATTTTAGTCTGTCTTTGCTTATTCAACATAGTACCCTAATTATATTACTTTGTTTGCGCGGTTAAACGCACAGATCATGACAAAATCTACACTTTTTATCGTTTTTGTTTACTTTATATTATTTTCAATTTTTTAACTGTTTTTAATATACTTCATATCATTAATATTGCTCTCGTAACGATTAATACGGTGCAAATAAATAATTTATATATCTTATGCAGTAAAATCACAAGTACAAATTTTCAGTTTTTTCTATTAATACCATTCTCTCTTATCCACACAATTTTAGATAATAGATAATATAGATAATATAACATAAAATGTAAATATTATGCATAGTGTTTGAATAAAATTGCAAGAAGACGAGAATTTAATTTTTTCAAGTAGATTAAATTTTTAAATTGCAATAACTTAGAATTAAATAAAAATTGCACATTCTCAATTTTAGCATAAAAGCGATGATATAAATTTCTCACTTTCGTTAATTTATCTATACTGAAATTATTATAAAAAATATTGGCTCAGACACTTTGGAATTACATTTTTAAATTTATGTTATATTTAGATAAATAGTGCAACATATTTAACAAAAGAATATTAATAAAAATCCTGAAATAATTCAGAGACGTAAGTGCAGTTGCACTCGATCAAAAGTTCGATCTTCAATCCGTGCCAATAAATTTTTCTCGATTGCATGCTGCAAGTAGAAAAATACCGCCAATACGAATACACGATTATCTGTGAAATAAGCTTCAAGTGGGCTGAAAGCGTTCTATGCGAGCACTGTTATGTGTTGCAACCTTTAAAAGGTCAGAGCTCGTCTACCGTTCCGGTAAAGCAAAACAGAATAGAGTTTGAAATATACAATAAAGTAGTTTCGTCATAAACACGTATCATATAAGCGAGATAAAACTTAATAATCGAGAGACAAAGCACCCCACGCAATGCTTCTTCTTGAAAATATTCACGCAATTGTCAATGGAAATATGAATATATACATGCATAAATAATATGTATATATTCGTTTAATAAAAATATTCAAGTGATATGAACGATATTTTATGCACAATAATTGTGTGATTCGACCTTTGGCGAAACAACCAGGCAAAATATGTACTTTCAATTCCATCTCGGTCGAACAAAAAAAAAATCACGCTCCGTACAAAGGAAATTTGCAGCTCACATGGTAGTTCCCGATGTAGAAAATCGAATTATGAGTCATTTAATTTACGTAGCGGTCTCATGGAAACATCGAAAATCGATTTGCTCGGCGCGTTCAAAAAACGACATCCCGAAGCGACTTCGCGAACAAAGCGTCGAAAAGCACATTGGCAACAATATTAGAGAAGCTTCTAGTTCTTTTCCTTCTATAATTCTTATCGAGCGCGAAACTTCCAGTAGTGGTGAAAGTTCCTCGGGCAACTCCAATTCCGCTTCTCGGCCGGGCATCGGGAAAACCGGGAGCGAGTCGCATTTTTCGCATCGAAGATAAAAGCAATTGTGCAAATGTCAATGGAAAGCTTTTCGCGGATCAAAAATAACGAAGTTATCTCTTTACGCGTTTGTGACATCGGCTTATCTAGATTGTACCGGTTTTGTAGATTTGTTTGGCAAAACTCCACATTTTTTTGGATAAAATCCATGTCAGTGATAAAAACCGGGAAAAAACTGGCAAGAACTGGTCTTTTCTATTTTAAAAATGCTAAAATGAATAAAAAAATCTTTTTATCGATATTCATTAATTGAGAGAATATTTTCTAATTTAAATTTTATCCAAAATAAAATTTATAATAAATTAAGAATCGATGTGACGCGAATTGTTTTTGTTAAATGTGTGTATAGTTTATTGAAAAAATAATATTTAGATCCCCAAAGTTTCCATCTTAATAATTTCACATATTAATTTGAATTAAAAAAAGGCTTTATTATTATATTGACTTTTTAAATTATAGAATTGGTATAACTACTAATCAAAGCAAAAATATATTTCGTTTAACATTATAAATATATTTTTTAACGTTACGTATAAATTATTTTTATAGCTTTTGCCAGTTTATTCCATCGGATAAGCAAAAATCGGAAGTAACGTAATTTTCTCCGTTCACCGAATTTCGGTCAACTCTGGTCTAATAGACGCGCCGAAATATCAGTATCGCAACGAAGTAGATCCAGAACCATTACGTGCCAACAAAGTGCAGAATACTCACCTTGAGACGTTTAAGCTTGCCGTCCCTCGCAGCGCTGTACACCACGCTCTTAAAATCCATTTTCACATACTCCGACCCACGTCACGTCGATTGGGCTGTCTCCCCTTCGTCGCACGTAGATCGTACCACGTATTCTCGTCGTCCAAGTTGACGTCGTTGATGTCGTCGACACCCCGGAGAACTGAAGCGGCGCTTCCTCCGTCTCCCCCTCCTCCACTTACTGTAAGGCGATACGTTGAAAAACGAAAAAAAACCGCGTTAGCGGGATCGCGTCACCCTTCGCTCGTGAAGAGGCTCGTTTCGTACGCGAGAGATCGGAAAATTGAGAGAACGATCGTCCGCGTGCACAAAAAGTCGGTCTAAACAAGCGAGAGGACGAAACAGTCGCGCTCGATCCGTGTTTCCGTTCACTCGTCAGGTGGCGGTAGCAACAGTCCGCTTGACGGCTCGTAAACGACTGAGCTCGCGCTGCCAATCGCCTGTCGATACCAACTGCGCGTTCTTGACCGTTCCCGACGCATGCGCCGCGACGCTGCCGACGCATGCGCCGCGACGACGAGCGCACTCGATCCCCGGCGTCGCGTTCGTGCGCATTTCGTTTCTTCCCTCCGAAAAGAGGAATCTCGTCCTTTCGAACGATTCTTTTCGCGCTTGCGGCGTTGCACCGAAAGGAACCTGCAACGACCCCAGACTGTTTGCGTCTCGTTACCGACAGAGTGCGCAGGCTCGACGTATCGCGTTCTGACGCCAATAGAATGCGCCATCCGACGATTTCGAAGCGATGGCAGAAAGTTTCGAGAAAGCAGGTAAGATTCAATATTTCTTCTTGATTTTAATTTTTTAATCATTTAATGATCATATTAATCAGTCTATTATAACATATTTGTTTCGAGACGTCTCGAAAGAAGATGTTAAATATGCCGAGAATATTATTGACGCCAATCTTTTCATATACAGTACCGATTAAAAGTGTTGCAACACTTCCAAAAAAGTGTAAAAGTAAATGAATACATTTTTATTTCTTTTTTCCCCTAACTCGTTTTGCTAATATACATAAAATTGTTGAGGCATAAAATGACAATAATATAATATAATGTGGTAATATTTACATGTTTTAGTTCAAGTAACGACTTCTTATTTTTATAAGTGAGCAATACTTTTGACCGGTACTATATCATTTAACCTTCTCTCTCTCTCTCCGAATATATTTAGTCTGGTCTTATATACAAAGTATTTATTTTTAGAAAAACGTTATAACCGAGAAACGTTTAAACTTTCCCTCACCATCGATAAAGTAAGACTTCGAAATAAAATATAAATTCTGTCAAAAATGAAACGTAATAATTTCTAATAAAAATTCCAATAAAATGAAACGTAATCTAAGTTCCTAATAATAATAATTCTAATTTTTGAAAATTTCAATCTACGAGAATATCGTAAAGAAAACTTAATCTTCTCTTTTCGATAATTTTTAATCGAAATACGTATTCGTCACGCGAGATGACGAATTGTTATAAAATTTGTCAAAAAATCAATCGATTATTTGTAGCAACAGATCGGTAGTTCTTTTTATCTTTTCCTACTTTTCCTACTTTGATACAATCTGTGTGCTTCCTGTAAAAAGTGAGTTATCGCTTCGAACTATCGCGAAACAGTTGGACGATAATTCGCGATATCGCGTAAAACGTATTCCAAGCCGGACGAGAGGTGGTTAACGGGCTGAATATTCCGCGTACTTTCGAGATAAGACGGACCTATTAGCCCCTCTTTATCTTTCACGTAGCTCGACAGCCAACTTTTCCGTCAGAGCGACGATTATCCGAGGACGGTTCGCGTGTTTCACCGGTTTACCGAGTTTCATAGGGATAGTTGCAATCTTTTTACGATGGATTATTTTCTTCTCGGATATGTCTCGGCCTAGGCGAACACGTGACGAGAAAGTTCGTGTTAACAAATGCTTGTAAACGAATCACTTCCGGTTCACTCGAAAAAAAAATGCTTTGCTGATATAAGTAAATTTTTATCGTAACAAAAATTTACCGCTATTTTTGTATCAGTTAGAACATTGTAATAAACCGTGAAAAATATAGATCGAAAATACGTCTATTATAGATGCCTATTAGACGTCTATAGACGTCTAATAATAGTCATTTTCCATTTTTTAGCCTATCATTTCTCATTGACTAGAATTTATAGCAGCAAATTCTAGTAATACCTTTTTTATACACAAAAATTTATGTACTAATGCGAAATATTAATTACTGCATTGGATAAATATGATAAATATTTCGATACTACAGCTGTAGAGTGATTTTTGGGAGAAATGAGTTTTTTTGTAAAAAACTTATTACAAGTATGATTAACTTTAACATAGAACAAATGCTACAGAAAATAATTTTTATATAATTTTTTTATTTTTCTAAATTTCTCATTAATAGTTTGAACAAAATTTTGTCATTTAAATTGATTAAGTGCAAAACATTAAATGCAATGTCACAGTATTTGCTAATTATTTATTTACCTCAGCTACTTTTTCGCACTTTGAAAATTGTTGCTGCAATTGCAAGACTATTTTTTTAATACACGCGATTATTTCATCGTGTCATTTATCGAAGGCACAATAACGAAAAAAAAAAAATTCTTTGTCGAGGAGTTAATATAGTCAAATTGGAGGCTTTTGTAAGACAAATTAAATTTTGTTTGTGAGAAGTAAAGTTTTAAATTGTTCTTCCTCCAAAATAAAACGCTGATATGTAAATGATAATTTTAACTTATAGACGAATTAACATAATGATGTTTTTACATCTGTTTGCATAAAAAAAAAGTTAATGTTAATCAATCCATACATTCAAACAAATGTTTTGCTGATTTTGTAAATAGATTTTTAGGTATCACAACTTTTAAAAATTTATCGTTATTTTTTTGTATCTAGGGTATTGATTTTAACATGTAAAATTTGTAGTAGCAAATTTTAATAATATCTTCTGGCAAATATAGATACCATTGCCAAAATTATTATTAATCATTGTATTGGATAAAATATGAGTTTCGATATAACTATTAGAATGATCTTTGTAAGAAATGTTTTTTCTGTGTATCACAATCAGACTTTATAACTAGTATGATTAGCTTTAACATTAATAGGCAGAAAAGCTTTCTTTCTAAATTTTATTAATAGTTTAGATATAAATTCATTTACATTGATCAAGTGCAAAATATATGCGATGTCACATATTTGCTAATTATTTATCCATCTCATTAATTTTTCGCATCTAGAAAATTGCACTTACAGGACTATTTTTTGAAATGTTTACGTACAAACACACCTCCCATAAAATAAATAAATAAAGTTTCTTCATCATCTCGTTTATTGGCTTTATTAAAGATGACGCGTGCAACTTCATAAGTATAGTTGATTGTATTTGCATGTATGTAAATCAATAAGATATGTCCGTATGATTTCTCAATGACCTCGCATGTACTCTGTATAAATATCGATTTTCTTGACAATGCACAGTCTGCGAAAGAGCCGTGTAATACGTATCGCTCGCTATAATTACCGACCAAATTGTTACGGACGAACTCGAAGAGCGGCTTGTTATTAGTCACGCGACAAGAAAATGCGGAAACGACGTTGTACGGCTTTTGCTTTCGTGCGAAAATCATGCAAATTGCGAGCGAATCGTCATGCGCGTCACCGCGGAAGGAAATGTCACTCCGATGAGTCAATTAATTCCCGAGCTTTTCTCGATCAAATTCGCAAATAATTAGCTGATTTTTTTTCAGTTTAAAATCACAAGTTTCAGACTTTGAAAATCTCGAAATAATATTGTGATGTATTATAAGTAGATTATTTTTTACGCAATTATATATAATACATAATTCACGAACCTTGCTGCGAGAGTGTACAAAAATGAATTAAATATAATTGCATAAAAATAATTTATTTATAATGCATCACACATACATATATGTTATTTATTTAGATGAAAAGGGAATCTTTGAATCTTTTTTTTATTTTTCTCGTCATTGCTGCGATACAATTGTTACCGTTCGTGACCTGCATACAATACGAAAAGTCAGCATATTTTTTAACACTCACATGTTTCTCGGGGGATAAAAATTCCCACGACAAAACAAATTATCTCCCGCTTATACCCTCGCTCCCGTAACTCTTTTCCGTATATATATATCTCTTAGCGAACATCGACCGCAGGAGTGTATTTATGAAAGATTTCCAATTGTGTATACGGCTGTTTTCCCTCCAAGTAACTCCCCCACATTCGCAAGGTTCTCTTTCACACGCGCGCGTACACGCACACACGTATACCCGCGCGTATTCACGGGTCGAGTGGTCAATGCGTGATGTTGGATCGACACAGTGTGCGTGTAATAAACGTGCGTGTGATCAAAAGTGCTGTGGCTTGCGGCTGTCCCGCGACGGGGGGGGGGACGGGAGGTGAAAGAGACGAACGGACGTCGATCCAATCCACGCTACGCTATCGGGCGACCACATTCTCGCAAATTGCGACACCGAACTGAGGCCGAATGACAATAAGTCGACGGGGCAAGCAGACGTGTTCGCATCGCGATCACGTACGCGTAGATTAGCAATCGTTTGTCCGGTCCACGACGCGTGATGACAGACTGCAAACTCCGTCGCGATCGTCGGCTGCTTGCTTATTGCGAATTAGCTCTCGCTGCGTCTCCAACAATAAACTTGCGTTAGACAATAATAAATAAGCGATAATGTAATCGATGTTTTTTTTCTCTCAATTCTCACCGTCTTTGGTTCATTCATATTCCGTTCTTATATTTAAGATCGTCTTAAGTAAAGTCTGAAAATGTTATACGGTCATTTCATTGGTGAATGAAATCTTAAGATCTCTGAATGTAAGACTGTACTTACAGGGTGATCTTAAATATAAGAACGCGCTATGAATACGTCGGTAAGAGTGTTTAAACGCGTTGCAAATTTTACACATTTTTCTGCGTTTTCAGTAAAAATGTATCTAAAATTTTTAAAAAGAGGATATACAATTGTCGTGTTAATGGATATGTCAAATGTGTACGAACTTGATGTTGCGTGTAATATGCATGTATGTTGTAATGAGACTAATTTTCCATACTCGTGTATGTATATAAACAGTCAATTGCGGTTGAAATACAATGAGTAGTTCTCTCACACGGTAGAAATTCTGTGCAAATCGTAATGATAAATCGCGATGCGTGGGTAGCTTGAAAACGGCGCATCCGATACATTGGAATACTTGCCAATAAACACACACGCACACATTTATTTTCTAATGACGCGTTTTTTGGCACCATTAATATCTAATTTGCCATCTCATGAACCGCGTTTAGTTGTATCTCATTGCGTAATTTTTTTACGAGTTACGTTTTTGCACGATATCAAATTTTTCGTCCGCAATTTACAGTCTCTGACATTTTAATGTTAAAAGTTAAAACGCATAAAAAAAAGAGCAGAAATGACGCGGCGCTTACGTGTATATTTTTTCAAACTTTGATTCTTATACGAATTTCAATATCTCCGATTCCATTATCTTGTCTCGGTACGAAACACGATGCGGCAACGTATCCCGTCCCGATTTCTATTCATGATCGATCACGCCAGCGAGGAAGACATACATCTCGCGACGAGATGCCGCAGGAAAACGCATCGGTGCAATAGTCGCCGTCGCTCTCTCGTCCCGTCCCAACATTCTCTCTCTCTCTCTCTCTCTCTTTCTCTCTCGCTCGTTCGGCGAGTAGTATTGGAATTTCGAAAAGCCGGGCTGCTCAGGTAGACAGCCCTGATTTAGAGCATCCCCTTCCCCCTGCCCCGGGTTGGCGGGCGTTTAACCGAATCGAGGATTCATCTCTCCTCTCGCGCGCGCCCTCAAAGCAACGCGCGGACGCGATGCATGAGCGGTGTGTAATATGATGAGCATCACACATACACTTATCCCGGCAACTTTACACGCGCGCGTGTATACGCGCGCTCGCGTTCCCTCGTACTTCCATCCCGTCCCCATCCCCCTCCCTCCTCATCCACAAGCTCGCGGCGGTTACACCCACGCCGAGCTCTCTACTTACGTTGCCGGTTGACTCGTGTTGTCCGGCGCTCTCCGCCACTTTGACTCGCTCCGTCTCTGTCGCAGTCGTAGCAAACACACATACGTACGTACGTGCCGTACGTATATACATATGTACAGGGTGTTTCGGTAAAGATGGGCGGCAATTGTAAAATAATCCCACATTTTCTACAATGCATCTTGAGATCGAGATATTTATCTTTAAAGTTTGAGAAACATTTTTCTCAAATAATCTCCTTACATCATAGTAATTATTTTTAATTAAAAGTCTCTCAAATATATATATCTCTCGATAGATCGCGTCGGAAAGCAAGGGCAAACCGTTATAAGAGCCTTCTAACTTGTACAATTTTGCAATTAATAAATTTCAATTACATACATGTATTATACAATATATGTATTTTTAATATATGTATTTTTAAATATGTTTGTAGATATATCCTCCACATTTTTTTCCAAAAAAAGGGGCACTCTTGTTTCACTTCGTCAAAGCTAACTGTTTTCGAGAAAAATACATTTGATCGATAGAAAGTAAATGATGATGAAAGATGCGTTGTAGAGGGAAATTTTATAGGAATTTATGGGGTTAATTTTCCGTGGCCTCGAGAGGTCGTCCATCTTTAGCGAAACACCCTGTATATCTACATACAGCCCGACACATTCGGCATTCCCCGTTGCACCTCCGCGTCTGTGGATTGCGGGGGCGCGAGCGGGCGAGAGAGGGGGAAGATTAAGAAACGCGGCGGCGCGACAGAGAGCGACGATAACGACGACGACGACGACGACGGCGACGGCGACGGCGACGGGTGGCGGCAACGAGCGCCCCGCGGAGCACGAGGTATATATCCGTTGCACGAGAATGGCGAGGAGAGAGGAAGATGCTGTTGGCGGCGCGAGCGAACGCGCCGCGTAAAGCAGGGGTGTCGATAAAGAGTTTTTGAAACTTTTCGCACGCGGCCGCGCGAATGGTGAATATATTTAATGCGCCGCTGATTGCGAGAGTCGCGTTGATTCCTCGTGTGATTCAAGTTGCCGACAAGCGGTCGCGATTTTCAAACGAGTGATTTGTTTATATCGACAGTTATATAACGCAAATGAAAACTATATTGACAATTAATGCGATGCAAATTTAAAAAATATATAGACATTTAAATCCCACTTTCAATGATATTAACGTTATATTTTTAGTATGTCTTGTCATCTTGAAATTTAAGGAGGAACTGCACAGATCAGATAAAGTTAATTAATACATTTTCTAATACGTTACGAGATTTACGAATTCGATATTGCGCAAAGTACTTTAGGCTTTTAAATAATATGTGAAATTAATAATTAACCTGCGAGTAAAGATTTATCCTATAGAATTGAAATTTTCATTTTATGAATTTTTGTGCACAGTTACTATAAAATGTTCGTGATTACGAACTGCTATGAAAAAGTTAATTCAATGTGGGGTAATATTTATAATCTTGCCAAATTTAACTCGAATCTTGATCACATATTTATTATTACTTTGACGTAGCTGATCCGTCTAGCTCCTCCTTAAAGTTTTAATGCCCGTTGAATTTATAAATCGAAATAGAAACGATTTGATCGGCGCCGATTACAAATGATAGAGACTCGAGTGGGAAATTTGACAGAGAGATATAATATATCGATATCTCGCAAACTGCGATCAAAATTCGTCGCGACGAACGACACGAGAAAGAAAGAAGGAAAGAAAGAAAAAAGGAGAACGTTTGACGTAAAGATAGCTACGACTAGTATGTAGATTGAATTTTTTAACGGCCTTTGCGGGAAGAGCAAAGTCACAGAGGGAAAGAAGGATACGGGAGTCTCTTATTCGTAACCCACAAACTCCGAAAAGACGACGGAGAGCTCTCTCGCCCCCGTCGGTCGACGCCCTTGACTCGCGCGGCGCGAGAGTGGGGGGAGCGCCACGGGTGGGGATAGGACAGCTTGCGGTGGAAACGAGACGGAGCGTGGCTGCCAGTGCTGCTTCTCCGTCTGTGTGGTGTGCGCGCGCGCTCGCTCCCATTGATGCGTCGGTGTGGGACTCGTCGCGGCGGCTTAGCGCGTAGGTCGTCGCTCATCGGTGTGTTCGTGGCGCGGCGACGGCGACGGCGGCAAGCGGCGTTCACACGTTCCCGTCATCCACTACCACTCGGCTCGCGTCGCGAGGCTCGCAGTCGAGCGTCGTACGTTGCGCGACGCGGACGCGGTGTTCGCTCGTTCCCGTTCCCGTTCCCGTATCGTCCGGTCGCGGCCGCCGTCGTACACGCACACATTCGACGTGGACGTGTGTGTTGACTTTGTGCACGCATCCTCCTACGAAAGTGTCAGTGTGCCAGACGAGAAAGAGGAAGATACGCGCGCAAGAGGAGAGAGAAGCGCAGCGAGAGAGTGTGCGGCAGGAAACGCGAGTGCTTTTTCACCGCAGTGCCAAGACAGATTAACGACGGATTTCATCGTGCCTACGTTTCTTCCACGGCCAGGATCTAGAATCGCAAACTCGTGACGGATATTCTCAAGGTATGCGCGTGTATCAAAACCCTCGAGTCTCTCTTTCTCGGTATCGTAATTAATGATTTTTTTTGCCGCGGCACGAAAATCTCGATTAAAAACGTCGAGCCGCGCTCGGGAAAGTACTGTTCGTTGTAATAGTTAGCTGCGCGCAAAGTCACGTGTCCTCGTTATGCGGCCAACTTCGCGAACGTGACGCGACATATCGGTGGAGCGCGAATAATATGCATGGATGACGGATTTTTTCCCCGACAACTTTCTCGTTTCGTATCACGCGACGCGATGCGTCTCGCTCTCGAGTTTGCCGGTTCGGGGCTAATAATTACGACGTTCGACCACCTATCGCGAAACCGAAGCGAGCCGAAGATCGCGGCGGCGAGCCATCCGCAAAAACTAATATCTCCCCCTCCTCCTCCCCCTCTCTCTCATTCCCACCGATCGAAGCTTAATTCCCGGCGCTCCGCTTCTTGATCGATAAGGCACGCGTTCTCTTCCGAGAAAACGTTGCTCCGAGCCGAACTCCGGCCTGGTTAATTGAGTTTCAAACAACCGGCCCTGGATCCGCTTCGAATCTCTGTTTCTCGTTTAACGATCCTTGGCGTAAGATCGCGTTCCACTCGCGACACGCTTAATAGATTATCGAGCAGATGGACACAAATGATTAATCTCGGTAACGATTCCATGTCACAACAATGTGAACATGAATGCGCGACTTGTACGACTTACAATTTGATCAAAGTGACAGTGCTCCAAGAATTTTCTCTTAACGATGTGAGATAATTAATATCTTCATATTTTATTTTAACGCAAAATATTTAATAGCTTGTAGGAAAGACAATAGCCTCGTACTGCAAATACGATGCATTATCGTAATGTAAAACTAAATAGTGTCTCAAGTTAGCTTTCAAACGAACATACTTTGATCAACTTGTAGTCGATTTTCTCTCTCATCGATCCTCTCTTATCAGTTCCCAATTTTTAATACAAAGTATATAAAATTAATTCTTGATGCAATTAAATATAAATTATTAAATTTAAAACATTTTTATTACACTATCAATATTAAAGGACTCTATTAAATAATTGAATACGTCGAAAAGTTCTAAAAATATTTTTCTATGAAGAAATAACGAATTTTATATGCAACGATAACAACTCCATTTATATCTCTCGATATTGGTACCACTTTTGGATTTGGAGCATTGAGCAAGTAATTAAATTAATTAAACCGTTGCTGTTGCTTATATTATTGGTAAGAATCGATGGTGAAAATAGAGTTGAGAGATAATGAGGAGGAAGAACGGATTAATGATGTTTCGATGAGAAGTAATCGACGTACACGTCTCGTAAAATCGTGGAGATTGACAGTTGGGTTTCTTTATCTTGCATGATTTGCAAAATTTGTACGTACATAAATCCCGTAAATTACATACTGTATTTGTACGAGCTTTTCGTGCCGGGATTGTCAGTATTGTGCCATTTGAATGTGAACTTTGGAAAACTGTCGTACGTTAAAAAAAAAGAAGAGGAACCTCTAATTTTTATCAGAAGCATATTTCGAATATTTGTCATATTAATTGATCGTAATTCAGATTGACGGAACGATACGATTAATCCGTTGTCTAAACAAAATTTTGCAATCATTGTTTAAATAGAATTTTAATAGTTATCGACTCCTCCGTTTATGCGAAAATTCGCAATTAATAATCCTGTTGTTCAAACAGAATTTTTACACGTGCATTCTTAACTACATGTGCAAGCCGTTTAAGTTCTTTCTCTCGCCGTATAATTATCGTGCTTTGCGAGATAAGGCTCTTTACGATGCCATGCATTTTACGAAGCTCACGTCGTCGTCGCGCTGCTAATAGAGGCACGATCGGCCGTATCATAAGTATGCGGAATATTAGGACATACTGTCGCGTAAGAGTTATTAGCTCGAAGTTGTTAGCTTTATCGCCAACACAATGGAATTTTTATTTTCGTGCCGGTCGCGAACGAACGTTCCGTCTCGCAGTTTGAAATTTTAAAATTGACGATTTAATTACATACGCATGTAAAAATATGTAATCGCTAACAAAAGTATATTTCAGTAGATATATATATTTCTTCGTCAACCGAAATACAGTTGTCGTAATACATAAATTTAATATTAAATATTATTTTTATTTAATAACATTTATATTTAATAATTATTCGTATTTAAATATTATTTATTCGCGTTAACATTATTATTTTAAATTACAATATGTTAATTTTACAATCACAATTTTATTTAAAGAAACATGCGCAACTTGAAACTTATATTTTTTTTTATTCGAGATGTAGATTTGCGTTAAAATTACTCGAATTTCTAGGACAATGCGAAACAGAATCCACATGTCTCTGTCGTAGAACGACTATTTCGCACATTCATGGCGCGCATAACGAAATCGGCGGGACTCGTAAACGGCGCGCGCGGTATCACCCGCGCGGTGCCCGATAATTAAAGCGCGGAACCGGCGTGTCTGGTGTGGAGAATCCTTTAATCCGCGGCGGCATTGTGCGCCGCCGTTCGGCCATGTCGCGATAACGATCGAGAGGGTAAAGAAATCACTGGACGATCGCGCGGTGGTTTAAGGATCCGAGGCCGAAGGCCGATTACGCCGAGAGATTCGTGATAACTTCCTCCACGGCTCGTTCATTCGTTACGAACTTCCCTCCCTCTCCCCCTCCCCTTCATTCCTTCCGCCGGCTCCTTTCTTCTCCGCAACGCGAACAAGCTCGGCGAAAGCTCTTTCGGGAATAGGATTTTTCGAATTTTCCAAATCGCATTTTTTTTTCTTTAATACTTGAGCGTGAAAAAACAAAAAAATGGAAATTACTCGTTATCGTTTCGCGGAATTATTTACACGAAATTTTATCGCGTCGTTTATCAAAGGCACAATAATGAAACAAAATTCTTTATCAAGAAATTAATACGATTAAATTGAATGCTTCCCGCGTAAGACAAATAACAATTAAATGTTTCACAAAAGCGAATTCTAAATTTCTAAATTTTCTTTTTCCAGAATAGAACGCATGATACGTAATTGAATATTTTATAGAGTTGCACGAGATACCAAGACTAATCTTGATATTATTTTGTCTTGTCTCGAAATTCAAAACAAGATTAAGACACGATTTTTAGTTTTCAAGATTAAAATTGTCAAGATTATTGAATTTTTCTAAAAAAATTAAACGACGAAAATCATATATTATATATAAACTTAAAAAATTTTATTTAGCAAATAAAAATATTTATATTAACAAATTTAAAAACAATTAATGGAATAAATAAAATAAATAATACAATAAAAATCTTACACATTTAACAATACAAAATTTTGCGTACAGCACATGCATGCGTTTTCTAATTGTGTTTGAACCGCATCTGCATTGTATGCAACCACTATATACCTTTTTCTAAAGACAATGAATATATATGATATTTTGGAAAATAAATGAATAACAAACAATTTTATATTTTAAATTATAATATAAAAGTTATTTATATTCAATATTTTTGTATAGACATTTAGTATTAAATAAAAATTGTTAATGTTAAAATCGAGACAAGACGATAAAAGACGAGATTTTTGCTGCAAAGATTCACTCAAGACAAGATTTAAGATTTCTTTAAAAAATTTCAATATCAGTACAATATTTTTATGAATATTGTCTCATGCAAGCCTATTATCTTAGCTCATAGGCTATTTAATATAATCGATAGGATATTTAATATAATCGCTTTACGCTTTTACATTTATTTAAGCCACAACGCTTCTCATTCTTTGAATGATAAGTATCTCACACAAGAGGAGATTTATCGATCGCAAATTATTAATGCGCATTCATTGCGTCGAAATCTAAAATCACCAAAATTATTGCGCGAGTAGATCGCCCATCGTTTCATTCTGCACTCCATTGCCTCGCAAGACAATAGAGCGTGGGAAAACTTTTCAACGTTTGTGTAAATACAGGGGGGTGGGAGGTGGGATGAATTTAATTTTGCTCGGCGGCGATGGTGGTGTTTGCCGACGGGACGAGACGCGTTGCGACGTCACACGTCGGGCGTATATACATATATGTGTATACATGTATGTGTGCGTATATATAATACATACATACACACACATATATATATATATATATATATATATATCAAAACTTTTTATCGTCCCGCCGAACGCATTTGCTGTAAATTGATGGAAATAATGGCTCAAATTCGGTCCTGGGTGAGTTTTTCACGCTGACGCACGCGCGCATTATACACATATGTTTATAAATATAAATATATACATATATATATGTATATAATATATATATATATATATATATATACACATACACACGCCTGTTATGCCTTATATATATATATATATATATATATATATATATATATATATTCATTCGCGAAATACATTATCCGCGGAGAATGGACTGTTAACGCGGTTATATGACTCCATTTTGTGCGTTACACGAAACATCATCCCGCGTTACAAAGAGCCCGTAATGACGCGTCATGTATATGCGATCGCGCGCGGCGCGGCGCGGTAAAAGCGTGAAAATAATAGACAACGTTATTCGCCCGGCCACGATGGCGAACGTTGGTTTTCGGACGCGGACCGGACCCCTCTCTTTGGCGGAGCGTACAAATCGCAAAAATGTTTTCCGTAATTCGCGGGTGCGACACGCCCCTACGGCGCGCGATGTGGCTAAAATAAACGGCGCTGAAATCGCGCACGGCAATCTACGGGTAAGCTAGAGAGAGAGAGAGAGAGAATGAAGGAGGGAGCGCGAAGGGGAGCACCGCAAATTATCCGTCCGCGCGCCCTCGCCGTTGTTGAATGGCCAATTCTCTACTTGGAAATTAAGCTATGGCCTAAACTAACCTAGCATAACGTCGCTGGCACGACCGGTGCATCCATCGCTCGAGTGTTTGCACGGTTGCTTCAGCCTGCGCTTCCCTATCGTCCTTGTCGTCGTCGTCGTCATTGCATGTGCAACGAAACAGCGTTGCGATATACAGATTGATTCATATTTTGCTTTATTTTAATGCGAAAATAGATGATGTAAGAAGATATAAGGCGATCGTTAATTCGTCCATAAAATAATAGAGTTGCACAATATTGTATCGATATTGAAAATTTTCGGAAACTTAAATCTTGTCTTGATCTTGAATGAATCTGGTAAAAACCTTGTTTTCTATTGTTTTGAATTTATTAATTTTTTATCCAATACTAAACGATTATTTTTACATGAGATATCAACTATATTTTATTTAACTATATATGTAAAATTTTATATTATTTTGTTTATATTGTATTAATTGTTTTTAAATGTATTAATACAAATGTTTTTATTTATTAAAAAATTTTTTTTAGATTCGTATATAATGTAGTGATTTTTTTCTAACTTAATTTACAAATATATATATATATTTTTTAAAAAATTTTTTTTAATCAATAATCTTGACAAGACCAATAATCTTATCTTTTTGATATTGTCTTAATAATTATTTAAAAATCTTGAATTTCGAACAAAACAAGATGATATCAAGACTTGATATCTCGTGCAACTCTATAAAATATTCAATTACGTATTATGCGTTCTATTCTGGAGGAAGAAAAATTTAGAAATTCGTTTCTCAGACATTTAATTTGTCTTGCGGAGAAAGCGTTCAATTTAGCCGCGTTAATTCCTCGACAAAGAATTTTTTTCTGTGATTGTGCCTTCGGTAAACGACGCGGTAAAGTCTGACGGTGAAAATAATTCCGCGAAGCGATAATGAGCAATTTTCATTTTGATTTTCCACGCTCAAGTTAGAATCGCGCGCTATCATTTCGCGCTTGGTTTTTTCCTACGATGTTTTATTGCGGGATTTATTCGACATGTTTGACACGTTTGCGATAATGGTCGCAGCGCCGAGCCTTCGCTCGTAATGCACCGTGCGGCCGTCGCCGTGGTCCATTGAAAATTGCATTGTAATCAATGCGTCGTAGATCCTGGAACGTGACGTTGCGCTCTGCCGGCAGCTTTGCACCCGGGATACAAAACATATACATACACACACATACACACATATACACATACATTGGGCGCGCTTTCTTTTCCTTTTCTATCCGACTTCGTTGTGTCGCGTCGCATCTCTTTCTCCCTCTTCTTTCTCTTTCTCTCTCTTGCTTCTTTTTTCTCGCTCTTTGTCCCCGGGTTCGAAACACGCCTCGAAGATTAGGATAAATGCTTCTGGAGCAGCGACGGAGGGTGCAGTTTACGTTCCTAGTAAATCGAACGATAAATTGATCGCTCGCGCCATCGTAAAGCTTTGCTCACACGAAATGAGAACGCATGGACCCCGCGAGATCAGCGCGGTTAATAGAGAATACTTTTTTTTCACCACTATTTCTAGAGAGAGAGAGAGAGAGAGAGAGAGAAATTTAAATGGCAACTGGCGAATGCAAATATATTTCGATATCTCAGAGTCTTGAATAGAGAACACTATCAGAAATCGCACGAATAAAAATTTAATACAACGATTTATTAAGTTTAATATATAATTATTAACAACTATTTTTCTTTTCAACAGGAATGACGATATTCCACGACATATGAAGGATGAACGGCGCCCGAGAAATTACGAAGATATTCTAAAAGTGTCTGTGAAAACGTAACTCGAACGTAAACGAGATCGCTTTTCCGCGTACAGATTAATCGATGAGAAAGTGTCGTACTCGGGCTCGCGATAAAGTAATCGGCGCGATGAATCGCGTTGTGCTGTGAGCAGTGCCCGAAGAGAAGATCGATTTAAAACTGCGACCGTCGTCAAATGGAGTCCCTTCCGGATCACGAGGATGCGTTCGTGTCTACGAACACATGGTGAAATGATCGTGTGCGTAATGTATCGTGGATGCTGCAACGATTTCTAAGAAGCAATTGCCCAAGACTAAGATGTACCCCGCGCCGGCGAGACATCCCGCCGCTCCCGTAAGTACACTCGCATCTTTCCTTTCTTTCTTTTTCTTCGGCGAGCAAAGAAATCAATAGTGCCATTCATGACGTGAGCGTCAAGTATATAAGAACAGTTTAATGTATATCAATAAGAAAAATGAAAGCTCGAGAGATCCAAATTTCACGGTTCGCTTAATTAAAGCGAGCTCCAATCCGACGAATCTTAACGTACAGTTCAATTAACGCGATAATTGATTTTTTTCAGAGTTGCAAAATTTTCAAAGCACTACTGTATTTCTTTGTTTACGCTGTTATTCTCATCATTTTCATTTAGCGTTATTTATTATGACGAAGCGTCAAAGGATAATATAGTGTAATTACCGGGCACGAGAGCGAAAGAGGGAGAGAGAAGCGAAAGAGCACGTGGGAGTCGAGCCGACCGTTCTCGCACTTTGCGTTACTAATTCGAAGAATGTTTGATTGTTCTTCCCCTCCCTCCCGTGTACGTCCCTCCGCCGCCACCTCCGCTCGTGCCACTCTTTTTACTGCCATAATTTCACGCGGCGCACAAGCTCAAAGTTCCTTACGACGAAACGAGACCACCGGCGAATTTGCTGATATGCAGACGTAGCGGGAAAGAGAAAGAGCTCGAGAGAGAGAGAGAGAAAGAGAGGGAGGGAGAAACAGACAGAGGCGGTTAGAAATTGTGGGGATTATTTATAGAGCCCGCAAGTCAACGTACAACAATTGCCGTTCATAGAAGTGGCCAATGGGCGATATGTGGGCACTCGTTTGCTTATTGACGCTGATGTGGCGCCGCTTTGCTCAAGGGGCACAAAGTGACTCGATCGTTTCTCGGATGAGTATACCCGAAGCGCGCTGTAATATTCGTCTTAACACCGCGCGAAACTACCGATAATTATCGCGATGACTAATAATACAACGACGTAATTGACCTAGGAGGAAGAATCACAAAAGTTAAATAAGCTCGATAATTTCTACGCAAACACTCGTCTCGAGAAGATGGAGAGACGATGATTGTACTCCTTTTGACGCTCACGCGAAACTGCTGATAATTATCGCGGTGATTAATAGAATGACATAATTGACCCGAGAAAGGAGAACCATAAAAAAAGTTATTTATAATGTTTTTCCCCCGGCATTTCTTTACGAGCACTCTCGAGATGTACTACCAATAACGAGAGATGAGCGTCGTAATGAACGTACGATATACTGTCTCTTTAGAGCGCGCGTAACGTCTGACAATATATTATCGCAATTGACTATTAGACATAATCTATTGATCCAAGAAAAACAGGGTTGGTCAGAAAAGTACAGCGAGTGGAAAGAAACCATAATAAATTCTGGATTTTATTGTTTCTTTCCCTTGATTTTATTCAGTGAAACTAATAAAAAAAATTATAAAAATAACTAATACACTAAAATATATTTATGTAAAAAGATACTTGTCTTTCAATTAATAAATCGTACAAATATTAATTTCTCTTAGTTTAATGAGAAAAATGTAACAATAACAGAATTAACAATTTCAATTTTAATCCACGTTTATCGCATATTTGTATATTCAACATCTAACGAGAGACTAATCGATTTGCCTACTTCGATTTCTAATTTATTATGGATTTTATTTTGGATAAAGTTTGAATTAGAAAACATTTTTCAATTGACTGATAGATGAAAAGATTTTTTATTCGTTGTAACATTTTTAGTAGAAAAGACTGATTTTTCCGAGAAATTTTCGGTTTTTCGGTTTTAACTTTGGTTTATCACTTGCAAGAATTATTAAAAAAAAATGTGGAATTTTGCCAACTCAAAGTTAGACATTGTTACAAACGTTATTATTTAATCCAGGACTCTAATTGAGAGATGCATTGCGTGCCGCTAAAGAAATTTAAGTTAGCCTTGCATTACGATTAAATATAGCGTCTTTTGCTTCCGCTCCGTTCTCGAAGGGCGTCTTGTTTCTGCCGGTAAATAATGGCGCATTATTAGGGAGCTTTTAATGGAAATTAACTGTGATATAGATTACGCGTAATAACGTTGCGAAGAAAGCGGTAACACTATCGCGATTAATAGCGGACGCATAATCAAGCGTAATCGTCGCGGCACATGATCGACTATTTACGCGCGGTCATTTGGCGGTTATTTATTACTCTCTTCTTCTCTCTCGCGGTCGGGAGATGCGGCCGACAAATGTCTCGGATGGAAGTTCGTGCTTTATTAATGTACGACGTAAGGCGAATTTGTCATAAATGGATGACTCGGCGTAAAAATGAATGTAAACGTCATATTTTTATAATTACTACTTCGTCGAAAAAGGTTTGATATATCGCGCGCAATATCGTAAGGAGCTATATTTAGAATAAAGATGCCATTTCAGATATTCGCGACGCGGAGAATTTTTTTTCCATCTAGTTAGTAATGTCAATTATTCGAAAGAGAAAGAACTTTTATAGATGTAATTTTTAAAGTATAATCACACGCTCCTTTTTTATCTGCTTTTGAGATATTTTGCCTCTCACTTATTCCATCTGACAGCTTATCGTCGGTAAAGCAAGAAAAGTAGACGCGTCACGTACATACGTACAAGTCCTTGCCAAGCAAATAAACGAATGAATGCATGCTGGCGAACGTTACGCTCGTAATTCTGTAACCCGATCCTTCGTGGGAAGGATAATAAAAGGTGAACGTGAAATAGTTATTCGCGAGAGTCTGTTGTTTTAAGACGCGCGTCTAGGAAACTGTAAAAAGCGAGAAGTCGGGGAACATTGGGAAGAAAGATCGGGAAGAGCATCGGGGGGAAAAGACTGGGGAACAGCTTTCGCAATTCCCCGTTGCGATAGATGGAAAAAAGGCGGAGAATTACTTAGTTGTGTTACAGAGTATACATGTTTCAATAACAAATAGTAAAACAAATAACGACTGTTTTTTTTTTATACGTATGCGCTCTCCGGTTGTTCTACATTCCTTTGATTTATTATTCAATTTTCATACGATAAGAATAAATTTCAATCTCGTAGAAAAAAAAATAGTCTCCGCACGAGAAATCCTCTCCCCCTTCCTCTATCCTCGGCGACGTTTATAATCCGATCGAATGGCGACGCTTCCGCTCTGAAATAAAAGAGGACGTTTCACGACCGTGTCAGCTGTCACTCGCGCGAGCGTATTCGGAACTATTCTCTCAGTCATCTGTCGCTTTTGCCAAGAATTAAAAAAAAAAAGAAGGGGAGAAAAGACAAAATTTGCGGTGGAGGATCGCAATTAATAACGCGATGGCGTAACTAGGTGAATGCCCCCCCTACCTGCTCCCATGTTTCTCCGTCCCCTGCTTACGTCTTTGATTAATAGTTATCTCTCGTGTCGCGGGCGTGCATTAGAAGTTGAGCGAACAAAAGTGCGAGAGGACGAGCGCCAACAGCAGCAGCAGCAGCAGCAGTACCTCCGTCGTGACGATATAGTTTGCGCAAATGTAGGAAGCAATATCGTGGGACAACAAGAGAAAGAGAGAGAGAGAGAGAGAGAGAGAGAGAGAGAGAGAGAGAGAGAGAGAGAGAGAGAGAGAGAGAGAGAGTGAGTTCTCGCGACGCGCTCTTTGCAAAATGCGCCTGGCTGAGCGCGCGAACGCGGGGGCGACGCGACCTGCACCGAGCGCGGGACAAAGGGACGCCGCTTTGTTTCGTCGTCTCTTTCTTCTCCCTTCCCTTTCCCCCGTCCTATCCTTCTGCTTCGCCGACCTGCTCCGCGCCCTTTCGCGTCGGCTCGCCGTGTCGTTTCGTGCTCCAGATTCCGCGGATTCTACGCGCCTCGCCCTCTCGCAGGGAGATCGCCCGCACTGGATTTCATATCAAAAATCTCGCCGCTTATATTGCTTTATTGTCTCCCCCGTGTAAAGGCAAGATGGAAATTGTGTTTTCAAATTACGCGTTTGATTTTGTAGTTTGTGATTGTTATATACACCAGCCAAGTTTTCCTCATTTTATATTCTTATCTACATATAATCATACACACTTATTTATTTGTATATGTTTACGAGAGAAAAAGAAAGAGATAGATAATATAGATAGCATTTAATAGCTGCAAAATGTGTTGAATCTTGCTCGCACATTATTGAAGAGAATTGTTTATAAATGCTATATAAAACATATAACAGATATGAGTGATGAACTTTTTTAATAGTCAACAGAGTAAACGATGTATTGGTTGCAAGATTGGTTTTGTGAATGCCTGTAACAGAAAAATATCGAAGGAGGAATATTCGGGAAGAGGAAGAATTAACTGAAAAAAAAATTACTCGGATACGACACGGCCCCCGAATATTGTTTGGAGGGACTCTGCTGCATTCGCGCGGCGATTGAAGAATTACGTTGTAATTGGTCGAATAAAAAATTGGGATTGCCACATGAAAATGATCTGCCCGTCGGTCGGTCGTGAGCTTTTTCCGCGTATCGGGGGACGGAAAAAAAAATTTGTCGATGACAATCGCTAATCAAATCGTTCGGCGACTAATTGTTCGCCGAATGGCTCGTCCGAATTGGTACGAAGAGCGAAAATTGAAAATGTTCGCCGGAGGCTTCGTTGTGCTTTGAAAGGGAGAAAAGTCAGGCTAGACGGAACTATGCGCAGGAACAAATTGCATGGACGGAATAAAAAAAAGAGGCAAACGTAAGGAAACTCCTTTCAAAGAGAAAAAGAGTTTTTTTTTTTTGCGAAATTTAATAAAGTTGACTAAAAATATATGTATATATAATTGTCGCTCGAGCATAATATGATGAAAAATAATCTCTCTTGACGTTACAAGATTAATTTTTTTTCATACTTTACATAATTACATCTCCCGTTTGCATCATTCTGTATTAATTAGTAAACAAAAAACGGGATATAAACGCGATATTAAGGAAACGCATATATTTAATGTTATTTCACGTTAAACTTACTTCCTAAAATTTAAGAGGATACACGATGCGAGAGATAGAAAAGAGAGCGTTATAAAAATATATTCTCATTTTCGTATCAAC